GAACAAAAACAGAAGCTTTCGAAACAAAAAACAAAAAACAGAAGGGTTCGAATCGCATGCATAGCCCGACCCCGAGTCGAAAGGGGGCCTCCCAAAGAGGAGTGTGTCATGGTTGGCACATCCGTCCGCCACCGGGCTTTCCTCTGTGGGTAAATGAGCTTTTGATTCATGCGCTAAATAAGCGCAACTCGGCGCGCCCCGCGTCCCGTGACCGCGGTAACCCCGCATACCAATCTTGATCCAATCCGGCACGAGCCCGGAGCCGTTATCTGATCTCTTCTCACTTGACTCTCACCACGATGCCCGCCCCCGCAGAACTACTCTCCTACATCGACGCGCATACGGACGCCTTCATCGAGCGGCTGTCGCAGGCCGTCGCGATCCCGTCCATCTCGGACGACCCCGCGTTCCGGCCCGCAGTGCGCGAGATGAGCTACTGGCTCGCGGCGCAGCTGCGCGCCGTCGGCGTCGAGGTCAAGCAGGTCGAGCTCGGGTCGCACGTCATGGACGGGCAGACCCTGCCCCTCCCCGTGATCCTCGGCAAGATCGGGAACAGCCCGAATAAGAAGACCGTGCTCATCTACGGGCACTTTGACGTGCAGCCAACGTGCGGCCCGCCTCGAGGAGTGAATGATTCGGCTCATAGGCTGTGGGCGCGAATCGTCCGCCACCGGGCTTTCCTCAGTCTATGAACGAGCCTTGACTTATGGGTATCGACTTTGGTGCGCACGACTCATACGCGACTTGGCGCATTCCAAGTCCCGTGACCGCGCTACCCCGCATCCAATCCGGCCCGCGGTCGCCGTTATCGGATCTGTCACTCTCTCACCACGATGCCCCGCCGAACTACTCTCCTACATCGACGCGCACACGGACGCCTTCATCGTGCGGCTGTCCGAGGCCGTCCCATCCGTCCATCTCGGACGGGCCCCGGCCGCTTTCTGGGCTCAGGATGTCCGAATGGCTGGACGTGGGCGCCGAAACTTTCGAAACTTAGTTTCCTTTTTCACTTTGGGTTCGTAGATCATATCATCATCATGCAGTCATGGCCCAGGAGACACTCACTCTCCTCCGCAACGACGAGATTCGTGTGACGCGTCCAGCCCGGGAGGCATACGAGGTGGGGACTCGTGGTACAGTGTGTGAAAACAGGGCGGCTTTTAGGTAGACGCCTCAAGTTGCGCAGCGTCGGCTCCCCCAACTGCGAGTGTGTTGTACTGGCTCTAACTGGATGTGTGGGTGTTGCGTACGTCGTACAGTTTGAAGCGCTTTAGGAGTACGCGCGCGAGATGTGCGGTGGTGTTTGCGCACGCATGACTCCGATTCTCACACGTTGAAGTGTGGCCGCCGCGCAGACTGTCGCAGAGTCGAAGCGTCTGTAGGTTTCTGAGGATTGAAGAAAAACACCTGAACTGTCCGGTTCTGCTTTATAAGTTGAAATTATGTCCTTCCCTACTAGAATCATAATCCTCCGACCTCAACCAAATCCTGGCCGATAGTATGGTCGATCACATCTAGATGAATGCCATTGAGAAGAGGTGGATCACGACCATGATTATTAACTGACCTACACAGGCGACTGAGGCGAAGCATTCTTCTTGGCTTCTTCGAAGTCCCAGAGAAGCGTATACTGGCTTGCAGTCCATGAGGAACAGCGGGCCCAGAGTTCAAACTCCACGTCGGGAAGAGCAATTTGGGCAGCCATTTCCTCGCCTAACCGTTCATGGCCTGCGGGATCAAAAGACCAGTAATAGCGTTCATCTTGGGGTGGAATAATCACTGAAACTCTCCCTTCCATATCGATCTTTATTCTGGGCGACGATAGAAACAGATATGGCAGGAGGGTGGGCGAATTTCGGTGAGAAGTGTGTTGGGGAAATCGAAGGCGAACTTCCAGAACAATACCGGTGATAAGACACAGGTCATTCAGCATATTATTATCAGCCGCTAGAATTTCTTTCTTGAGCTTTGGCCCCAACTTATGATAGAAGCTACGCACCGATCCATGGTCCCAGTAATCGTGTGGCATGTGAAAGCCAACATCTCTTGAGGGAACGCCATGGGCCTTCAATTGCGTAGTCGATAAGCAAATTGGTCTTCATCCCGGGCGCCGGCTCTAAGCGTAGGCTGGGGGGATATTACAGGAGTCAGCGAAGTTCATAGGGCACAGTGGAACGGACCGTGTCCATGTCTCGTTCATCACAGTAATACCAGTGATATAGCGACATATAGTCCTCCAACCACGAGTCCAGCATATGCCCTCGTCAAATTCTCCATGGGAGAATCCAACTTGAAAGTCGAACCAGTCTCCAGCAGCAGGAGTAATAAGCTTCCCTAGTGGGACACATGCCTCATTGTGGATTTCTATCTGGTCAAGCCAGTCAAAAGGTTCCAGAAGGGTCAGGAGATCGCACGCATTCATCTTCGAGAAGAGCCGCTGTTCGACATCTCGGAGCCCAGGCGCCGCCGAGATGTCCCATGGAAACAAAGCGTAATCTGTGTCCGGGTCCGTCCATACGACATTAAGCTCGTCAGTTTTCATTTGACGACCTGCCTCATGAATGCCCAGAAGGCCCGTGGACATCCGGATAGAGTAACACCAGCTTTCTTGGTGGAAGGGAAAGCTGTTAGCCTTGAGTTGGTCTATGGCTCTCGAATAATCCCGGAGCTTTGAAATTTATGTGTGGGCTACGGGTTAAATGTTCAGATAGGACACACCATCTGGTATAAGATATACGCCGAAGTCAGCGAGGATCCAGCGTGCAATTGCCGGAACTCCGTGACGGTCATCAGCTCTAGAGTAGTTCAACTAAATTTGGCGCCCAGCCGGAAAAGAGGGAAACCCACGTACCGTCATGATATATCAGCGCATTCGTCCAGCGCGCTTTGGTGACACCGAATAATTGAAGGAAAAATGGACTTCTGAAGGATGGGTTGGCATTTTGACCTCTAATCGCGGGAAAGGCTCGTACCGCATGAATTGGTAGTTCTCGGCTCCAGCTTTCTACTGTGGCGAGGAATTGAGCTGGGATGCAGAAGACAGTTGTGGTGGCTTGCCTTCTCGAATTGGGGACCCTCATATATAACGGCCGTCATGGGGTCCTGGTTCCCGAAGATACGCGCGCGGTAAACTTTGCGTGTTCCAACGACGACTTTCCGGCGTACAACGATCCCTGGTCCGCGCTGTTCGACCACCTCGGATTCAAGCGCCTCCTCAGACCCGACCTGGGTGAGGAGGTTGAGGTCGCCCAGTCTAATGGAGCGGAAATCTGGCAGGCTGCGTCAACGAGGTAATCGCCAGAAGATCAGGTCAGGGAGATCACACCCGATTGGGGTGAGACAGGTTTCTCCGAGATGTTGAAGGTCCCACCCGCGATGGTGAAGTTGCTGCAGTTTGACAGAAATCCGCTCGACATGGAGGGAAAGGATAACAGGAGCAAGGCAGTGTTTCGAGCGCTGCACGCTTTCATGATTGCTGTGCGTGAGAGGCGTCAAAGAAGAGCTTTCAAAGCTGTAGAGAGAAGAGGCCCGGGAAGGAAAGTGTGTCCCCGTGTGATGGAGGTCAGCGAAACTGAAAGCTGTGAAGATGCGCCAGGAAACTGAATCGCGTGCCGAAGGAGGGAGTGGAATTTTGTCTGTGCACGGGTCAGGGTGGAGTGGTTGCTCAGTCGGAACTTTGTAAGTGCCGGTGACAGTCACTGGCGAGGGGAAAGAGGGAGGTTCGCACGGGCTTGTGAGATCTGTGGGTCAGCTCTTTTCACAAAAGGAACCTGGAAACTCTGCAGCCTGCCACGAAATGAGAGGCAAGAGTGAGTCATGATCAGCCGATTTGGGTGCCGGAACGTGTGCCGGCGCGGTGCCGGCATGCCACACTGAATAGGGTGTTTCAAACATCTAAATTTGAGCCCCAACTCGTGCCCCAACTTGGTGCCCCAACTCGGTGCCCCAACTTCGCTTACTTTCGGTGATTGTCGGCCGCTCGGCGCTCGGCCGCACTTGTAATTATGTAATTGTAGCGAAAACTTTACACTACCTACTCTATGATGCCCCCCTAAAGCAAAGCCCGAGTCCGTCCCCGTTTCCGTGCCCGCTGCCGCAAAATGTGCTCGAAAAGCCCGCAAAAATAGAGCAAAGCCTAAATGCGTAGATGATCCACCTCCACCCTCCTGCGCCCGAAATAGTCAACGATTCGGACGACGACTCATCTGACGAAGAAGCCATATCTGTCCGCGCATGATCCGCGACGCGTGCGAAGGTCTAAGTTGAGGCTATAAGAGGAAGGAAATAGCCCAAGGTGTTTCACACATGTGCCCCAACTTGGTCAAGTTGGGGTCAAGTTGAGGCACAAGTTGGGGTACAAGTTGGGACTCAAATTCAGATGTTTGAAACACCCTAATATTGAACTGTTCCCCGAGCCTGACGGAGCGACGAGAACTTTCATCTTTCGATGGAATGAAGCCGGCCTTCGCTAATGTGCTCGAGAGAACGCCGGACCTCCCAACACTCAAGTTGTGGGAGTGGAGTCCGTTCCGACAGATGAACGGACTATTCGGCCCCCATTCAACGGCGGATGAGCGCAAAAAAAAAAAAAAAGAAGAAGAAGAAGAAAAACGACTTTCAGCACCAGAGTGAACAGCCAGCAGCATGGTGAAAAGATGTAAACCAGACCTCTCAGGAGCAATAAATAGCCTGACCCCGAGTCGAACGGGGAGCTCCCACAGACTCATGCATTACAAATGATTTATTGGGTGCGGGCGCGGACCGCCCGCTACCAGGCTTTCCTCCCTTCCGACCTAGCCTGATTCATGAAGGACTTTCCGCTCGAAGAAGTCGGCTGTGTTGGAACTTGATTCATCCAGGCAGACCTGGCATGTGTAATTCCACAGCACTGTCGCATTATAATCGCAGTAAAAGGTGCGGACGACCGGTTGCCCGACTGCGAGCAGAGATGTCTGTGGATGGCTCGATCCTCACAAAAAGTGTTCCAGCATTGCCACGGATAGCCTGGCCCCGAGTCGAACGGGGAACCTCCCACAGACTAATGTATCCGAGTTGCCATCTATGCAATGTGGGCGCGGACCGTCCGCCACCAAGCTTACATTTACCTACTTAAGTGCCGTAATTCATGTCCAACTTCAAAACTTCACGCAGCGTGCTGAAGAAAATGTACACCAGACCTGTCGGGAGCAATAAAAATAAATAGCCTGACCCCGAGTCGAACGGGGGCCTCCCACTGACCAATGGATCTGGCCCGTTCATGCATGCAGTGTGGGTGCGGACCGTTCGCCACCAGGCTTCCCTACCTCCCTCTCTGCCCCTCAATTTAAGCACGACGTTCCGGTCTCCGCTTTTCTCTTTTGAATTTCATTTAAATTTATGAATCCGGCAATTCTTAGATGTACGCAGAGTATACGCGCGTAGACCCACCCCCCGTTGGCCTGCGAAGGAGCGGAGGTGTTATGCTGGACGAGTTGATAGAGCTTTAAATTATCGACTGTGATCAAAAACAGAAGCGTTCGAAACAAAAACAGAAGGGTTCGAATCGAATGCATAGCCCGACCCCGAGTCGAACGGGGGCCTCCCAAAGAGGACTGTATCATGGTTGGCTCATAGGCTGTGGGCGCGGACCGTCCGCCACCAGGCTTACATCTCCCTACTTCGGGGCCGTAATTCATGTCCAAGTTTAAGAGTGCAAGCAGCGTGCCGAAAAAAATGTAAACCAGACCTGTCGGGAGCAACAAAAATAAATAGCCTGACCCCGAGTCGAACGGGGAACTCCCACAGAAGATTATTCAAACTCAGAAAGTGCGTGTAGGTGCGAACCGTCCGCCATCAGGCTCTTCTCTCCCTATGCGCGAGCTTGCCTGTATGTACCAAGTTTCCGACGGTTACTGCTGCAAACTTGGCACAGGTGCAGCCGCAGGCTAAGGGTACCTCTCATACGCTGTGCAGCAGTTCAGTTCGTACACACGCACGTATAGTACAAATTCTCCGGGGGGAATTCAGCGGCCCTCGGCCACTGAGCCAAAAAAAAGTGAAATTTATGGACATGGCGGATAGCCTGACCCCGAGTCGAACGGGGAGGACCCACTGACTAATGCGGGTGCGGAACGTCCACCACCAGGCTTCCTTCCTCTCTCAAGGTTCCTTTATTGCTGGTCCACTGTCCGCCCTAGGAATTCCGTTTGCTCTATGCTTGATGTGAATATGCATGCAGAAACTCTTTGCGGTCAAAACAAAATAGCGAGCGAGTTAAATCAATTGTTCGTCGGCCCTTCGGTGTTGCCGTGGAGAATGGAAGGAAAGTCCGGTCCGGCAGTGCAGCCTTGATATTACGCAGAAGTTCAAAAAAAACGACCGGAGCCGGTTATAGCCTGACCCCGAGTCGAACGGGGACCCCCCACAGACTAATGTATCCGAGTTGCCATCTATGCAATGTGGGTGCGGACCGTCCGCCACCAGGCTTTCAACTCGCTACTTAAGCGCCGTGATTCATGTCCAACTTCAAAACTTCACGCAGCGTGCTGAAAAAAATTTACACTAGAGCTGTCAGAGCAATAAATAGCCTGACCCCGAGTCGAACGGGGGTTTCCCACGGGAGAGCATTGCAAGCGGAGCCAGTGCGTGTGGGTGCGGACCGTCCGCCCCCAGGCTTTCCTACCTCCCTCTCCGCCCCTCGATTCATGCACGACTTTCCGGTGTCCGCTTTTCTCTTTTCTCTTGATTTAAATTTATGAAGCCGGTAATTCTGAGATGTACGCAGAGTATATGTTAGATGTACGCAGAGTATAAGCGCGTAGACCCACCCTCCGGTGGCCTACGGAGTCGCGGGAGGGCTTATGCTGGACGAGTTAGAGCGTTCAATTATACCGGCTGTGATCAAAAACAGAAGCCTTCGAAACAAAAACAGAAGGGTTCGAATCGCATGCATAGCCTGACCCCGAGTCGAACGGGGACCCCCCACAGATCATGTATCTGGATGGTAAAGCAATGTGGGCGCGGACCTTCCGCTACCAGTCTTACATTTCCCTACTTACGAGCCGTAATTCATGTCCAAGTTCATGCAGCATGCTGAAAAAAGTGTACAGAAGACCAGCCAGGAGCAATAAGTAGCCTGACCCCGAGTCGAACGGGGACCTCCCACAGAAGAATTCCCAAATCAGTCCAGATCCAGTAAGTGTGGGCGCGGGCCGTCCGCCACCAGGCTTTCCTACCTCCCTCATTACCCCTCAATTCATGCACGACGTTCCGGTCTCCGCTTTTCTCTTTTCTCTTGATTTAAGTTTATGAAGCCGGCAACTCTTAGATGTATGCAGAGTATATCTTAGATGTACGCAGAGTATACGCGTGGAGAGCCACCCTCCGGTGGCTTGCGAAGGAGCGGAGATATCACGGTGGACGAGTTAGAGCGTTCAGTTATATCGACTGTGAACAAAACAGAAGCGTTCGAAACAAAAACAGAAGGGTTCGAATCGCATGCATAGCCCGACCCCGAGTCGAACGGGGGCCTCCCATAGAGGACTGAATGAGATTACGCATAGGCTGTGGGCGCGGACCGTCCGCCACCGGGCTTTCCTTGGCCTATAGCGAGCCGCGACTTATGGGCGTCGACTTTGATGCGCGCGACTCATACGCGACTCGGCGCGCCCCGCGTCCCGTGACCGCGGTAACCCCGCACACCAAATCTTGATCCAATCCGGCACGAGCCCGGAGCCGTTATCTGATCTCTTCTCACTTGACTCTCACCACGATGCCCGCCCCCGCAGAACTGCTCTCCTACATCGACGCGCACAGCGACGCCTTCATCGAGCGGCTGTCGCAGGCGGTCGCGATCCCGTCCATCTCGGGCGACCCCGCGTTCCGGCCCGCGGTGCGCGAGATGAGCTACTGGCTCGCGGCGCAGCTGCGCGCCGTCGGCGTCGAGGTCAAGCAGGTCGAGCTCGGGTCGCACGTCATGGACGGGCAGACGCTGCCCCTCCCCCCAGCCATCCTCGGCAAGATCGGGAACAGCCCGAACAAGAAGACGGTGCTCGTCTACGGGCACTTTGACGTGCAGCCCGCCTCGAAATCGGACGGGTGGGACACGGAGCCGTTTACCCTCGTGCAGCACCCCGACGGGCGCCTCATCGGGCGGGGCAGTTCAGACGACAAGGGCCCGGTGCTGGGGTGGGTGAACGTGCTGCAGTGGCACAAGGAGGAGGGGAAGGAGCTGCCCGTGAACCTCGTGTTCTGCTTCGAGGGCATGGAGGAGAACGGCAGCGAGGGGCTCGATGAGCTTGTCGTAAGGGAGAAGGACGGGTGGTTCAAGGACGTGGACTGCGTTTGCATCGTGCGTCGCCGTCTCTTGGCCGTACACTAACACTTATACTGGTGGTGCAGAGCGACAACTACTGGCTCAACACGCGGACGCCCGCGCTCACCTACGGCCTGCGCGGCCTCGTCTACTTCAAGCTCACCGTCTCCGGCCCCGCGCGCGACCTTCACTCCGGTGTGTCCCTCCCCATCTTGCATCCGTACTTGTATTCACGTCGAGCGGCACAGGCGTCTTCGGCCGCACGGTGCACGAGCCGATGACGGACCTCATCGCGCTCATGGGGCGCCTCGTCTCCCCCGCGGGCGACATCCTCGTCCCGGGCGTCGACGACATGGTGTCCGTGGCGGACGCGGAGGAGCGCGCGATCTACGACAAGCTCGACTACAGCATCGCGGACGTCGAGAGCGCCGCGGGCGCGCCGATCGCGCTCAGCGCGGATAAGGTGCGTTCATCCCCTCCCCCATATACTCCTACCCTCCCTTCTCCTTCCACTCCCTTGCCTAAAGCTCGCTAACGCGCGCTAACACACTAGGTCCAAGTCCTCATGGGCCGCATGCGCCTCCCCTCCCTGTCCCTGCACGGCATCGAGGGCGCGTTCGCGGGGCCCGGCGCCAAGACCGTCATCCCCGCCAAGGTCGGCGGCAAGTTCAGCATCCGGTGCGGGCGCCTCTCTCTCTCTATCCTTCTTCCTTCCCTCTATTCTTCTTCTTGATTTCTTCTTCTTTCGTGCTTTCTTCTTCCTCCTTCTTTATTCTGCTCTTTATTCTGCTCTTTATTCTGCTCTTTATTCGGCTTCATCTACTCGTTATTCTTTATCCATCCGTGCGCCCGTACACCAATGCCAATACTAACGCACGTCGCAGGCTCGTCCCCCCGCAGACGCCCGCGGCCGTCGCGCCGCTCGTCACGTCGTACCTCGAGAGCGAGTTCGCGAAGCTCGGGAGCAAGAATCGGATGTGCGTTTTCTGCTTTCTTTTTGATTTAGATTGGGCTTTGGAGTGGTTTTGGGAGGGGGCGACTCCCGCTTGCCGGGGTGACGAGGGGGATGCGTCGTGCGCGTTTCGTCTCGCACCCCTCTCCTCGCCCCATGCACCCCTTCTCTCTGCTTCTTCCTCCCCTCCTCGTCACGCGTAGCTAACCCCACCCGCCCGCGCTAGGGAGATCGAGCTGCTGCACGACGGCAAGCCGTGGGTCGCCGACTGGAAGCACTGGAACTACGGCGCCGCGATCAAGGCGACCGAGGTGCGTCTCTTCCTTCCCTCTCCTCTCCTCCTTCCTCCTTCCCCCTTCCCACTCCCCCACCCACCTTCCCCTTCCCCCTCCTCTCCCCATCCCCTCACCGCTCCGCACTAACCCCCTCCTAGGCCATCTACAAGCAGACGCCGGACCTGACGCGCGAGGGCGGGTCGATCCCTGTGACGCTCACGTTCGCGGAGACGCTCGGCGTGAACGTGCTCCTCCTGCCGATGGGCCGCGGGGACGACGGGGCGCAGTGCGTTCTTCTTCTTCGCGTTCTTCTTTTATTTCGTTTGAGTTTGAGGTGGAGTCGGAGTTTGAGGTGGAGTCGGAGCCGGAGTTTTTCGTTCTTCTTTTGAGTTTGAGTCGGAGTCGGAGCTGGAGCTTTCGGCGCCTTGCGCTCTTGTCGAAGAGAGACCGTCGCGGCGGGCCACGCGATAGAGACGAGATTCGCGCGCGGTCGGCGGGAGTCCAGAGGCGAGCTTCTTGTCGCCGCGGGCGTCTCCGGTTGGGAAGACGACGCCGACGCCGCGGTGGCCTGGGGCT